AATGTGGATGGCATGTGCTGGATTTATAGCCACTTCATAAATTCCCACAAATGTTTGACTTGCTTTGTTTTTAATTGCTAGCAATGAAACAGTTCACAGTACACTACAAACAGAGACCCAGCTTTTTGTTTGAGACAGTTGGAGAGGAGGGGGAGAGAGAGGGAAAAAGCTCATGAGAAACATGAATGGGTAAGTTTTGCTGACTCTTCTAACTACAGGGCCTGATAGTGTCTATAAACACATTTCCCATGATGTTAATAGCTGAGCAGGACTTTTGCTGAAAGATAAGTGGGAATTTGATCTTGTCAAACCTAGACAAGTGGGAGTAAATTGCAATTAATATCTCTAAAGAACACAGCTTATTAAACAGTTGGTCTGTATTATAAAACATAACTTTGACATGTATATCATAAACAATGCATTTGCCTTACTGTTTGTTTTCAAGGTACTTCTTCATTGTTTTCTGATATTTTGCTATACACAATCTGCTAGTCTATCTAATCCAAATCACAAAGATCAATCCCAAATATTATTTTTTGTTATTAAGTACAACTGTTCATTGATGGTATAGCACACAAATGGACTTATTGATCATGTAACCTTATATGTTTACAAATAATGTGAAAAAAGAGAAAATGTATGCAAATGTTCGTCACAATGTGTATCTGAAAGGAGTGAAATTTTCTTTTATTATCTTTCACCTGCATGTAGGGATAATTATTTCCTGAAAATCTGTATAGACAAAAGTTGAAAAGAAAAAGTTTTAGCAGACATAAGCATAAGTCAGTTTCTTTTCCACTGAAAAAAAATTAAAAATAAAAATATTAAACAGATAGGTTAAAAATATGCTAATAAAAATATTTCAACATGCCAAAATTTCAGGATACACAGAATTTCAATCTCATGGATAGATGTCTTGCAAAAATAGGAGTTTTCTTTAGCCACTGAAGTTTTTAAAATAGCATGAGATACAAAGTTCAGGCTCTGGATCTTGTGGTATCTCTGGTTATACTAGGGATAAAGTTTCACCCAATTCAGGTGCTCACTGTGATTTACTGTGACATTTCTATTAGCAGCAAGTATTTCACAAGTTTGTTCTTTTTAGTTGTATTTAGCCAAATCAACTGTGATATTTTTATTTCAACAAATTAATTTACCATTTTATTAGAAAGAGAAGATGCCAACTGTAGTGTATCCCAATCATACCAATATCTTCTGAAAATTACTCAGTGAATTCATGGTACATTTCCTGTTGGAACTGTTGATAATTTCTAAACTGAGTTTTTGTTCTGTATTTGCATGAGATCTCAGATATGTTTCTTTGCTGTTTTTAATGGAACAAAATTACAGAAACATATGAACACAGTCTTATGTTTGTAGTTTGAAACCAGATGATCTTCTAAACAGGATGAGATCTGAATGCAAACCCAGGTCTATAATATACCCCCTGTAGTTGTACTCTGGAGTTCACATAGCATTTTCCCTACAAAAGAGCCACAGAAAAGCATTATGCATTTGCCCAGTGATGTTTTCCATGTCACTCCCCCCATGCCCTTCATCATATGTCATCTTCCATGATACCTGTGTGATATATGTAAATATACTCTTATGCACCAATGCAATAGAATATTGTCTGCAGAGACACGCATGTTTTATATATAATTTCCTTCATACTTCAAAACTACAGATTCCAGTCAAGCACCGCTTCCTCCAAAACTTCAAAACTCACTTCTATGAATCTAATGAGGAAAGTTCCTTCCTAGCCATCTTCATCCATTCACTCACCTTAGTCGCTTTTGCAATCTCTTTACATGCTTAAATGTATATTTATATGCACATATTCTTTCACCTAAAGGTTTCAGCCCTTCTTTTTTTTTAATATGAGACTCTTTTTTACAAAAGAGTAAATAGCAAAGTGCAAACCTCAGGAGGCAATTACCATCCAGGCTGCTGCTCATGACTTGATATATCTCTGTCTTTGAGGTAATACCTTACTACAAACAACAGCAATTTCTTCCAAGTGCTCATGGCCTCCATCATGACTTCTCTTGTTATTCATAAAACACAGCCCTCCATACAACATTTTTGATCAGTACGGAAACAATGACCTGTTTGGTTTTTTTTTTACTCTAGTCATAGAGTCACAAATCTATCCCTTAGAAGCTATGACAGTGGTTTCTGACCAGATGTGCAGAGTAAAGGAAAACAGTGAGGGTAGTGAGGTTATTGAAGAAAGTCAAGTGGAACAGAAAAAGTAGGAGATTGTTCATAAGAATGTATAAGAACTTGAGAGGCCATGTATTGTCAGTGCATTAATTAGAACTTCACTGCCCTTAAGCTCAGCATCGTCATCCTGGGATAGCTTCTGGTGCTGCTTCCTCCTTCTGCTGGCTCTGGCAGCCAGTACACTGGCAGCAGGGTGTGAGAGGGGGACCATGAGGTACAGCTGCTGAAAACAAAGGAAAAGTGTGATCTTTTTGGAGTGCTGTTAAATACATTCAGGTTATATTCAATTATGTTTCATACTGTAGTCACTTTTGAAGTCAATAGACTTCAATTACATGCATAGCAGCAGAATGATAGTCTGAAAACACACATCTAAAAAATTTTTGGGAAATGTTGAAATAAGAAAATAACTAGATGAAAAGTTTTTGTAATGGTTTTTGCTAGGATAGAGTTAATTTTCTTCCTAGTAGCTTGTATGGTGCTATGTTTTGGATTTATGCTGAAAACAGTGTTGAAGGATTTTTTTAGCTATTGCTGAGCAGCACATGTGCTATGTAGAGGTCTTTTCTGCTCCTCATCTCACCTCACCACTGAGGAGGCTGGTGGTTCAAGAGGAAGCTGGGAGGAGACATAGACTGGACAGCTGACTGTGTCACAACCCACCTCTGAGGTGGGGCAACTATGTTCTTTACAAAGGATCCCTTGTAGCGGATTAAAGTGAAACGACACTACATAACCAATTATAAAAACGATAATAATTTTGATTTTTATTTTTTTTACTTATTTTTATGGTCATGGCTAGGCTTCACGAATGAAGATTTGGGGAGGGCTCTACCCACATTTGTTGCAAGTGCGTTGGTGGCTAAAAAGGCCAATATGAGATAGACATGTCTGGTTGCAACTTATTTTTAACAACTCTAGAATAATAACTGGAAAAATCGTAACTGGAAAAACTGCAACTGGGAAAATACTGTTCTGGGATTTAAGATTTACCTTAAGAGAGGAGAGATAGAAAGAGAAAGAAAAGGGCACAGAGAAATAAGAAATGAGATAGAGAGATACAGGGAAGATGAGGCAGAGGCGTGGCACTGTATGTAGTAGAAGGGTTAGAATGTATGGAGCTCACAGTTGGCAAAGACACAGTTGAGATCTCTGGGTGAAAAGCAAGGAACAAACAAATAATGCAGATGTCATTGTGGTAGTCTGCTATGACCTTCCAGCCAGGATGATGATGCTCGCAGATTATTCTCTGAGGAACTAAGGCACACTTGCAAACCAACTGACCTTCTCCTTATGGAGGGCTTCAACTTGCCAAAAATTACCTCAGAGCATCACACAGCTGGTACAACCCAGGCCAGAAGATTCCTAAAAAACCTGGATGACTACTTTATGGAACAGGTCCTAAGGGAACTAACTTGGAAAGATGCCCTCCTTAATCTGCTGCTTGTCAACAGAGCAGATCTTGTGAGTGGAGATTGGTGCCAGTCTTGGCCACAGCGAACACAAAGTGATCAAGTTTAAAATCTCTGTTGACAGGAGGAAAAGTGCCAGCAAAACCTCAACTCTGGACATAAGGAGAGCAGAATTCAGGCTGCTCAGGGAATTAGTAAGTAAGGTCCCTTGGGAAAATGTTTTTGCAGGTGCTGAGGTCCATCAGTGCTGGTCATTTTTTAAACATCACCTCCTAAGGGCACAGGAGCAGGCAATTCCCAAGTGTCAGAAGTCAAGCAGGCGAGGCATAAGGCCAGTTTGGTTGAGCAGGGATCTTCTCTTGGAAATAAGGAAAAAAAAGGAAGGTGTATGTGCAGTGAAAGCAAGTTCAAGGGACATAGGAAGAATATAGAGATGCTGCTTGCCACTGCAGGGAGAAAATTCATGCACTCAAAGCTCAGCTGTAGTGGAAGCTGGCCAGAAATGTGGGGGGCAATAGAAAGAGTTTTTTCAAATATATTAATGGCAATAGGCAGTACAGAATATCATTGGCCTGCTATAGGATGAGGATGGTCACCTCACAAACAGGGACAGAGGCAAGTTAGAAGTGTTTAAAGCTTTCTTTGCCTCTGTCTTCTACAGATTACAGGCCAAGGGGGTCTCAGTGCCCTGAACTGGAGGACCATGACTGTAAGAATGATTTAAAATTCTGCAAGATCTGCTGCTCCAGCTGGATCCCTACAAATCTATGGGGCCTGATGGGATTCAGCCCAGAATCCTCAAAACACTGGCTGCTGTCATTGCACAACCTGTCTCGATGATTCTTGAGCGGTCTTGGGAACCTGGAGAGATCCCAGCTGAATGAAAGCAAGCGAGTGTTGTCCCAGTTTTCAAGAAGGGCAAGAAGGAGGACTCCGGAATCTACAGGCCTGTCAGTCTCACTTCAGTGCCTGGTAAAATTATGGAGAAGATTATTCTGGGAGGTATTGAAAAACACCTGAAATATAACACAGTCATTGGTAACAGCCAGCACAGGTTCATGAGAGGAAAGTCCTGCTTATCAAACCTGATTTCCTTTTATAACAAGGTAACCCACCTAGTGGATCAAGGGAAGCCAGTTGATGTAATCTTTTGAATTTCAGTAAAGCTTTTGATACTGTTTCTCACAGGATCCTTCTGGACAAAATGTCCAGCACACAGCTGGACCACCACATCATGTGGTGGGTGAGCAATTGGCTCACAGGTTGAGCACAGAGGGTAATAGAGAATGGGGTGACATCAGACTGGAGATCTGTCACAAGTGAGGTTCCACAGGGCTCCATCTTAGGCCCTGTGCTCTTCAACACCTTCATAAATGACTTGGATGCAGGACTGGAAGGGATAGTATGTAAGTTTGCAGATGACACAAAACTGGGAGGAGCTGTTGTTCTCTTTCAAGAAGTGCCCCACTACCTACTCCAGGAGGAGTTCTGGTGGGACATGTATGGCCTTTCCTTGGAAAAAACCTGGAGTGGCTGAGAGAGAGAGTCTGCCTGTAGGCTGGAAGTCTATGGTTTTCAGTTGTGCAATAGTGTCTTGCTGCACAGGAGAGAAATCAGCACAGTAAAAACATTACTCTGTCTTCCTAGGATCTACTGGTTACCAGCTTCTGGTAGTCTAAAATCTGCCCAAAATAATGTGAAGCATGGACACTAAGTCCCTTCAAAGCTGTTCCTAATACATCACATATGTCACATTGCTAATATAGGCATAGCCACAGCTTCTAGCTTCTTCTTATGGTGAAATCATGCATTTGGAGTCCAGAAGACTATATCACCATTCTCTCTCAAAACTCAGCAAATGCTGTACTATTCAGTCCTCAGAGTGCCATTAGAAACCCAGTCTCCAGACCCAGGTCATACATGACTGGGGACATACCCAAGTGGCACGTCAGGGGCCTGGGTAGGTTTTTGCACTGAGCGTGGGAGTCCCACTGCTGCAAAGGTTGTCAGATGTGGGACTAATAGTTGGGCATTTGTGAAGGTCAGAATAGCAATCAGTCATCATCCAGAGACTAATGGAGCTTAAAGGGCATGAAACCCTGCAACTGATCCAGTCAAAACAAGCAAACGTCTGAGCGGTGAGTGAGAAAGTTGTAACAGGTATCTAGCAGAACTATCTGAAGGTGCTCTATTTTTCTCACTTCTTCTTATGTCTTTGCAGCCACAGCATGGAGAAGCTGGAGGAAGAAATCTTTCAAAAACATAATTAAACCCACATGTTCAGAAAAAACACAGCATTTACACTGAATACATAATGCAGAAAACTGCTCTGTCAGAGAAGATGTTCTTCATCTGATTATGATTGAAAAGCAATAAATAGAAAGAATTAGTCATAAAACAACTAGCAACTGAAAACACATGCATTTAGGTCTTTGGCTCCAGGATAAATAAAGTGCAAATGTAGATTTTTCATATATCTGCCAGAAGTCAGATAGATATTGTTATTTTAGCCTATTTAGAAGGTTGCTTGTATGAGAAGGTATTTCTGACACTGAAATACTCATTGTGAAAGAGCTTTAAAGGTCTTTTTACTGACAGAGTTAGATGTTTTTCCTGCTTTTCCGTGCCTGTACAACTGCTGTAAATGCCAATTAAGCTTAAAAATACTTGTTGATGGCAAACATAGACCATAAGGCCTATTACATCATTAGGTCTATTTACTTCTCTAAGACTTTACCTGCTCATAAAGTCTGTGTTCATGGCTTAGGTGACAGACGTATTTATTCAATTAAACTAAATTCTTTTAGAAGCCCACAAATATTAGAATTTAATGGTCTATGTTCAACAATAAATAGCTGAATACAAGTCTTGGGTGATACAGTGTGACTACCAACATTTAAAAAATATTCTTGATTCAACTATAAAGTGATTTTGATAATAACCTTGAACTCCATAAGCTGAAGTTCAGATAATTCTCCTGTAATACCATTCCCTTGAGATTTATTCAGATGTCTTTACATCATATATTTTCAAAAGTACTTAGACATTGAAATCAGTTAAGTCAATTTCCATGAAAGCTGTGTACTTTGTTGATGTAGGACTTCATCTCCTTGCTTTTCAGTTTCCGATCTGTAAAGAGGGAATTTCCAAACATCGCCAGCTGTTCAAATGTCATTTTCAACAATAAATTTTCACATCAGAAAGGGCAAACGAAATCATGTGTCTGCAGAGCACAGGCAGATATAGGTGATAAGTAGTTTATATTCTGCAGTTACTCCAAGTTTTCATAACTTTATTTGCAGAACAGCTCTGTGATTATTGCAAGACCTTAAAGAAGCAGAAAACATGGACATTTGGAGCTCATTGTCATTCCACAGGACATGCCACCTTTCATCAGAACTATCACATAACTCCTCTACATACAACTTTTCTTTTTTACTGTCTAATTCTACCTCCATTACTAAAACAGCAATTACCATAAATGGCTTACGGCTGCATAGCCAAGTGTAACTCTGTGACTGTGACCCTCTGCTTCTTCATATTCTTTAACTACTTTATTATGAAGATTAAGATGGTATTCAGAAGTCCGTCATGTTACACAGAACCTCACAGCAGTAATAAATCCCTACTCTGAAGACCTTAGACTCTCAATAAATACAAGAGACAAAAAATTACTGTTTTCCTGACATTACAGTTTTCCTGGCTGTAATACAATTTCATGCTTCTTCTCTGAGCACACTGGAAAGCAGAAAGTGGATAATTGCTCAGAGCAGCTCTTCCCTCTTCAGGCAGTAAGTGGCAGCATTGCAATAGCTTTTTCTTCCCTGTCTTCTTCGTTTTTGTCGTTCAAGGCAGTTCCATTTTTCTGCTAAAGCACACAAAACTCCTTCAGTAATTTTATATTTTATTATATAAAATATAATTTTATATTGTACAACAATAAATTATAATTAATAGCAATAATTTATATAAAATTATATAAAGGGGAAAAAATTGCAGATTTGGGGCCTCTTTTGTGAATGGAGACTGTGCATATCAAAACCAACCCCTCTGTTTCCATGCTTTCAGCCAGGGAGTATTTTGTAACCTTATCAACATTTCTAAAAACTTAACAAATTAAAACAAGTATAAGAACAGCTAGAAGCTTTATTTTCTGCTCCTGAAGCAGAGGATGTGAATGGGATGTCTATAATGTAGATCTTCATTCTTAAACTTTATATTTGATGGACACTAAAAAATGAGCCTGCAAAATCAGCATCAGACCATTTCATGTTAACTGACTTCCAGTGATACAGGATTTTATTTACCCTGTTCTAATAGAGCTTTTTGGAACAACAGCTGTGATTTTTTCCTGGCTCATAATCATCATCAGCCATAAGGAAACTGCAATCAGAAGGGAGGAGACAGATCTGCTGACAAAGCACAAGCCTGCCTCATATCTAACTCCCTCTTGCAGACCCCTTTGTTGGCTCTGCAGTGCTAAAAGGAACAATATACACCAAGAATTCAGTGTTGTCACTTGCATATAGTCCTAAATACAAATTACACCCTTTTCAGAGTCAGCTGAAGTCAGTGGCAATTTTTAGTTGTAGGGTAGGACTAAAGAGTGGATCTGTTCAGCAAGAAATGGATTCCCAGGATAATTACTTTCCTTGTTAGACCTGTTTGTGGTGATTAGCTTGTGTAGTTATTAGGTCTTAGACTTTTTTCACACTATGTGGCTACGTAAAGTGATGCTAGATGTTACTTGTCAAAGGTGGGTGCTTTTGTTGTGTGGTGTTTATGCTACTGCCCTTTGCAGAGAAATGAAGCCTTGTATGCTCTGTCTCATGGAAAATTGTCATTATAAAGATTCAGTTTCCCCATAAGAACATAGCAAATTGTGTAAGGCAGCTTTTCCTTGAGAAATCCTGCTTATTAGCTGTCAAGATAAGGAAGTTAATGAGAAGACTCCTTTATTTTTCAGGGCACAATGGAGTATTTCCAGTGGCGGCATCCTGGAAGCACTTGCCAGAAAAGGAAAAAGAAAATGGCTTCATAATAACTTGAACCATGCCTATGTCAAAAAATCATGACATCTCTGAGACCCCATTTTGAGTAGTATCATATTAACATAGGGCTGACTTGGTGCCTGGGCTTTTAAGGTCATGTTTAGGAGAACCAGTCATAATAGTATTTTAGTGGAAATTTTTAAAGTATTAGTTAAAATTATGATACACAGTGCAGTCTGGCAATTATTCAAAATTCCATTTCAGTGATATTCATGTTTTTTGGTAACACCAGGTACAAATGCTTTTATTCAACATATTTTTAATATACTTTGGAATACTGAAAATACAAGTGCTTTATAAATTTAAGCCATTACTATTAATTACTACTCCAGAATTTTTCCTTCATCATCTCCCTGACCTTTGAGGAACATTAATGAGAAAGTTTACTCATTGTAAGTATGAGCTGGGTTTAATGAATGTCTTTCACTGAGACTATACGACTGCTAAGATGAAAGCTCTCAAATGTTAATGCACTTGAGGTTTACAATGTCTAATGTTAATGTCACAGGACATAGGTCAGGGAAGTGAACTGGGAGTGATTGCTCATGATAACCATCTGCATGTTATTTTGCAGCAACAAAACAGAATAAACTAAGTCCCAGGACATGTCTCCTGAGTTATGAAGTTATTGCAGGACTTCATCTAGCATTAATGAGGCCTCATTTGAACAAATGGGAAATTATTGAAATAGGATATCACAGAAGTAGCTTGTGAGGCGCTTATGGTTATCTATTCCAGGATGAGTTGAATTACACCAGAGGATAAAAGGCAACTTGATGACTTGTGTGAACATTGACCTTGTAGACATACTCATTATGACCAGTGAATGCAACCCATAGAGTTATATATTCTCAGAAACAAAGTGGAACTGAGAGAAGGGTCTCTATGGTTCATTGATCACCTTAGGTCCATCTTCAGAGAGACAGCCTAAGCAGAAGGCATTTGCACATATAGGCTATGTATCCAACCAACTGTAACAGAATAACCCTGATCAGTCCTTTTGCGTAATGTGGCACAGTGAGAAAAAGTCTAAAGAAGACTAAAGGGTGAAATGCGATGAGAAATTATTTCTTCTCAGCTTTTGTCATACTCATATAGAAGGATAGCTTGGAGGTCCTGAAAACAAGGCTGGAAGCATCTCCCCAGATTGGAGAAAATTAATCCACTAATAATTTTTAGTGGAGGAGCCTGCTATCTGACATGCGAGCCTAGAGGAATCAAGGATTGGTCAGCCTGCCCCTAAGTTTGGCTTTTGTCTTGTAATCAGTAGGATGATTCCAGGACACCTCGGTTCACTTAGACCATCAACAGCAGTGAAAATGAAGTTGTCATCATTCGAATCACATATGGGTTTTACTCTAGAGCCTTTAATATTTTAAATATAATCAAATAATGCCATGAATTGAAAGAAAGAAAGAAACTTCTGCAGAAGAAAAGCTGTGAGGATTTTACAGGTCTGGCATTGCCAGATGAACAGCAGTTAGAAATAGTACCTGAGCTGAATGGTCTGGAATGACTTTAGCCAGCTGTGACAAAACATACATACCCAGCAGAGTGAATTACAGATGATTAATTTACATAGGAACAACAATAATTTTCTTTATGCTGATGTTGTAATTTCCTTTGTATCAGGTCACTCTTACTTATCTGATTATTTAGCTAATCAGCGACCTAAACCATCTGCATTCAATTAACAGTGTCATTCCTGCTAAAATCTGAGCTCGTGTTATTTGTAGGGATATTCATAAGGTTCTGGTTAGTTTAAAGAAATGCTGTGCTGACTTAACTAACCATTCATAGGAAAGGAAGAGTTGGCACTCATTGTAGGTACTATGGTTGCTATCACATATCCTCCTTCTTTGCTACTATGGAAAGCATTTTGAAGCAGACAGTTTTAAACACCCCTTAACTGCTAATCCTTCACTGGGATACTGCAAAACAAAATGGCACAAAACATGTATTAGTTTTCTACTCACAAAGCACAACCTTGCCAAGAGTCGTTTCATTTAGCTTTGGATACCTATAAGGTATAAGTTTATGTCCAAGCTCATCACCCTTGGTTCCTTCTGCCATCAATAAGAGAATGAGTCACATTGAGGACAGGATTCACCACAGCATAGCCATTCACATGATGAATCCTATCAAACTGTAAAAGTGTTTATTTTCTTCATTTATGTTGATGAAATAAGCCTGACTAGTCAGAGCACAGATGCTCTGACTATTTTAGATGTCTAAAGTGAAGGAGAAGGTTTTGTTTGTTCTTTGAGAATCTGAAATGTCTATCACCTGCCATTTTGTTTTGCCATGATTCTAGGGTTTTAAAGTCAGATCATAGCATAGATTTTCAGAAAGGTAGCATGCTCCTGGGAAATATACAAAAAGATAGAATATCTTTAGCATGTAACAGGAAAGAAAAGGAGCAGTGAAAGAGGGAGAAGTTACAAACTATGTAACATACAGACTAGGTTACATACTGCACCTCTGACAGTCTAATAACATATATACAAATAGCATCCTGGCACTTTTGCCACACTGCCCTGTCCTGTGTCCATTATCCTCAGCATTTCTATAGCACAGCAGAATACTGTCTCCTTTCTGCCTCTTGCCTGCTGGCAGTGAGTACTCTGCATGACAGATGCAAAACTGAGCCTCACAAAATCTAAAGCAACTTGTCTCCCTATTTTTGCTCAGTTACTCTTTAGGGGCTTAAATTTTCCTCTGGCTGTATGTCTGGGGTAGATGTATCTGTCTTACAAACTCGTTCTTTATATATTTCCTTCTTTCTCTCATTGATTTTTCAAATCAGAAAATTCATGCTAAATAAAAAATTTCAGCATTTCCTTTCCAACAGTAGTTACTATATAAACTATAAATGCTCAGTAGTGAAATTTTGATGTTTGTTTCTAGTCAGGTACAATAAAGATTCCACACTCTAAAATGTATGTGAAAGTCATGATATTTTTTAGTTAATCTTTTTTTCTCCCTAAAGTCCAGTTTTCTTCAAATTTCTTATTCACATTATCCAAGACTGATTTTATTATTTCCCTTCCTTTTCCAGACATTCTGGTGTTTTTCATTTCTTTCTGACACTTTGCATTTTCCGGGGAAAGATATCCATGTATAAGGACTCTGCTCAAGAACATATCCTCAGAGAAGTTTAACAAAGTTCCTCTACTTCCCATGGGCAGTGGTGTGTGCACACATTGCTCTGAGGAGTGAACCCTGTTCCTGCAACAAATTGGCCTAAGAGGTGTCTTAGTAGTGTCCTAGCAATGTCTAGTTTGCTAACCACTAATTATCATTCTATTCCTCAGGGTCTATCCTATTCATAAAGAGAAAACTTTCCAGGGGCTGCCCTGAGCATTGATGAGCTTCCATCCCACCTAAGGTAATCTACATTATTTGATCAAGTAACTGCCCCCAGTGCAGGGCCTTCACTTTGTGCACCTTTCTACCTTTCTTTCTGTTATAACTGAAATTTTGAACCCTCTTTTTTTCCTGTGTATGAATTCCATTTAGATATGGCAGTTTTCCAAAACACCAGTTATATGTAACAGTATCAAGAGTACTTCATATTTTCTGTGTGTATCACATTAAGTGCATTGAAGTAAAACATTCAGATTGACTAAAGCTTGACATGTATTCCTGTGCTGGCACAATCACATATTACTGGCACAATCTAAATCACAGATTTCTGTCACAGAACAAGATACAATGACTGAGTAAACTCGGATATATGCTTTACATAAATACAGTAATAAAGACCATATAAATGCCAGGTTTGCAGAGATGTTATATCTGTTATAACCAGTCAGATTTTAAAATATGCAGTGCAAGAGAAATGTACTATTTACTGGGCAATTAATTCACCAGTTATTCTGCATTTCTTAGTGATTTTTTATCCTGAAAAACTCTAGTCATGCTGAGACATATGAGCTGACAATTGTCCTACAACAGCCTGGATGGAAGAACCTTCCTGTAATTCAGAGCTCACACCTCAAGGATTGCACAGGGCTAAATGACCACGATGAACTAACTTCCATGCAGGGTGATTAGTTATCACTCCCTGTTTGTCCAGCAGAATGTAAGAAGAAAAAGTGGGAAAGCAGCTATATTTGATAAATACAGCTGTATTTGATAAATACAGCTGTATTTGATAAATTTGTTCCTGTATTTGATAAATAATAGAAAGTTTCCTTTTGTCTACATTATCACTGTAATTACACTAAGATTATTGCAGCCTTTCTAAGGATCTCCTGACTTCAAACAGGAGGAAAGTCAGGAGGAAACCAAAAAGAAGTCAGCCCTTTCTTTGGAAGGCATATAATTTTCAATTAAAAATCAGAATACAATGTTTGCTGGTGTTGAATCTACCTGGAGAACATATTTCTGCCTGTCATACCCATTTTGTCATTTTGAAAGTCTAAGCACAATGTCAAGTTTTATAAACATATTTTATTTTTTAATTCCTATTTGATGAGGTAAAAGAGGAGATGTTCAGGAGCGTTATCTTTCAATGAGCTAAGGAGAAAATGAAAGAACTGGCTGTATTAATTGTGGTGTCTTCAAACACAGTTCACATCAATTTACAAAACGCATACATGCCTGTGTAGATTTTGGTTGCCAGTGCACTATGAGTTTCATGCCCAGTTAAGCCAAGATATAAAGGAAGGCCTTAGCAGTGGCATGTGGCCACTGCCCAGAGGGGCTCCAGACTCATGCTGCAACCTAGTTAGTACCTGTGGCATGTCACTCCAGGCTCTGTCCTTGCTTGCAGTCAGAATTCGGTTACCATGCAGTAACACATTTCTGTATTGTGTTACTGTCCATGGGCTGCTCATTCATGCTTATATAGTGCTTCTACACATTATTTCACACTGGCACAGGGAAGGTTTGAAACACAAATATCAACCCTCAGCAAATCTTCATTTACCATTTTGCCCCTTGAAGAATTGAGGTTTCAGCATCAGTCCTTGAGCCTTTTATGTCTCATCTTAAATGGGGTCGTAATTCAAAATCTCAGTTTTTGGACTCCATTTATTTGCAGAAAGCACATCTGGACACAATATTGCCCAAACAAAGTTTCTAGACTCACTGCCTACACTTGCTCTCAAGCTGCTAGCCTGTGAAAAAGAGTTTTGTGACTAAATATAAACTGAAATCAATTTCTTTACAAAACAGATTCGTGTCCAGGGAAACTTCTTGGTTTCAGTCACCACATGTCCTAAACAAGAATTTCCATTAAAATTCCTTTGAGATGTGACTACAAATATGTAAGCAGGTTAAATATGGATAAAATTGAGTTTTGTTTGTGACTTTGTTGGATGGTATAGCTAGCTCCTTTTACATTTTTCACCCATATTTCACATCTAAATACTGAGATTCTTTTTTCCTTTTAGTATTCGGGACTTGACTTGAAAAATTTAGAGTCTCTTTTTCAGAAGGTGCAGGCTCTGCTTTAAAAAATGAGTCGTATTATATTTGAGAAGCTTTGGGAGACATTCATTTTAATGCTTATATATTTTATCCCACTTATCAATGAGGCAAATTAAATCTAATTTTGTATCTTCCCATATTTACTATAAATACACTTGCTTGCTGAGAAACATCCTGTGAGAACAAAGAAAGAGCAAGTTCCCTGCTTGAGAGCTCAAAGGATTAGGCCAGTTGCAAAAGTTTCCTTTCCTGAAAGAAAACTTAGCCCAGGAAAACACAGCAGTATGCCCCAGGCTTAACTCACTAGAAGAATCAAGTCTCCTGCCAGATATTTTAGCTATGGATTAAAGCTGTTTTGCCATAAATTTTGGATATCTACATTTACTAACCAAATGATGCACTAAGATTCTTTCAAAGAGGTCAGTGGCGCATAGGTGAAACCCATACTGGGTACAGTGGGGGAAACAGAGAAAGATTTTCTATAATTATGTTTGAGATTTGAAAAGTTAACAAACATGTTGTGTTATGGGGTGGAGAATGCCCCTGAGAAAATTCAGTAGTTTCCATACACTTCTCTGGTTTTGTTACTCATCCTCCCACATTTCTCTTTCCTTCCTCATTTCCGTCACAGCTGCACTTTAAATAATCTGGGCCTGATTTCCCTTTCCCTTGCCCCAGGTTTCGCTACAGTCTGTTGGGGTTAGAGCTTGTTTTCTTCCTTTACTTCAGGTAATAGTAATGTTACGCCCAGGGACATGAGGATTGAACTTGTGAGAGTGACATAGAGTTTGAGAATGATGCTCTGAGACAAAAAGAATGAAGACTATCTATTTACACATGTCAAGTGGGTAAACTATGGAGAAACATTTTGTCCAGTTCCTTGTCTGAAGACCAAAGCATCTGTATACAGAAGGTTTTTTCCAGTTATGCATGGGCTGTGGATGAAACATCATGTAAAAAATAATGTTTACTGATTTGTGAGAATTTTGCTCCAGATATTACATTAATGCATGTTGCAGGTAGAAGTAAAGTCAATTACAGTATTTCAACACAAAAAATTAACACTGTATCTATGGTGTACTGGAGCATATTTAAGAAATTTTTTTCTATTTTCAGTCAATAATGTCCTAAATCATCTGTAAGAAAGAGAATGGATTAGTGCTTGAAACATGCTTAGGTCTACAGCTCTAGAACTTCTAATAGTGAATTTCTAACTGCACACATGGAATGTAAACAAAAGTAATGCACTTTATGTTTATGAAAGTTGGCACAAATAAGCTGTATAAGTGGAGGCTTCTGTTCCTTGAAAAGGATCTGTACCTGAAGAAGGAACCCCTATTTCCCTTTACATTCTTGCAGTGGCACTTACCAATGCCTTTTAAAACTACATGCTGCAAAGATTTTGGAGACAGCATCCAGGTCTTATTCTGTCACTGAACAGAATAGGTCATGGTTGCTTGGATCTCTTCCTGCACATGATCTACTCCCTCAGGAGACCTGGAGTCCCCATCCAGATGTAGCCCTGGATAAAACATAATGTGTAGATAAAACCAGCAGATTTCCTGCTGATGACCAAAAGATGGGAGCAGGCCTCCCTCTGCAGAGCACTAAGACACAGTGTTTACATAACATCCTTAATCATTTTTTTCAAATGTGTCACACAGAAGTTTTACAGTGCTACTCATCTCAAATCTTCTTCCTTTCACGGTAAGAAAAGGGGCTGTTCTTGAGTCCAATCCAAGTTATTGTTCCAACTAAAGACAGATTGTGTTGCTGCATTCAGCTGTTTATAACAGACTTTTTATATTTTTTGTGTTTTAAAGGTAGATACAGGTCTGGTCCCATCTCTCCAAGCCTTCAAAAAAACCCCAATAGAATTTATTTAATTAAAAGAAGAGCGTACATTTACATGTACATGTTCTGTACATGTATAATGTATAAAATGCAGGCTCAATCAAGATGAGAAGGGCATTGAATTAAGTGTACATTGTAAAATATTGTTAAATTATGACAAATAACTTGAGTTTGAGTAGCATATGAAGTATATCACAGAACTTATTCCTAAACAAAATCAACAAGACCTTTAAAAAGTTTTCCATTTGGCCCTCACTTTCTCAGGTTATTCAAGGAAAATACACCTACAATGAAGTGTCACTGATTCAATGTACAAAGCATAAAAAGCCAAAAATAATATTAGAAGGAAAACTTACTTCACACACAACATTTCATACTGCCAAGCTACTCTGTTTTCTTTTACATCCTAGAGATTTTAGCATAAATTATTGTTTTACAATTGACAGCTGTTAACATTCATAGTGTTCAGTGCACTCTAATGAACTTCATTTGAGATGAATTATATGAAATCATTCCCCAGTTAGCAGGCTTTCCATTAGCAGTGACTTCTGATGATTCCTTATAAAGGCAGGACATAGCTAACATATTCTTCACTACATCCACAAATCACATGCTAGGGTCAAACAACCTTAAGATTGCAGAGCAACCATGGAATTGTGGAAGTTGCACAATGTCAAGAAAAGTACTCCTTCCAGTTCAGGCCTGAAGGAGTTGTTTAGCATTGAGAGACTAGCAACCTCAAAAGAGGATATGCACGTTCAAACAAGGATAGATGATACTCTAAATCTGCAGCAGTTTGTCCCACCATTAAGCCTCGTATAGAAATAAATTGAAAGAAGACAGTTCCTAGGCATTAGCTTTGAAAACAAACATTTATTAAGTTATTTATTTTTAATTACATATTAAGCAAGTTAAAAGTTAGCAAAGGGCCATAACAGCAAAAGTCTTCTGGGTTGTATTAGGCAGAGTGTTGCCAGCAGGATGAGGAAGGTGATCCTTCCACTCTTTTCAACAGTGGTGAGAACCATCTGGACTGTTGGGTACAGCTCTGAGCCACTCAGAACCAGAGAGATGTGGACATACTGGAGTGAATTTGGCCAAGAGCCATGAATATGATATGCATATGACATTTGAGGAAAGGCTGAGGAAGCTGGGACTGTTTGGCCTAAAGAAAAGAAGGCTCAAGAGAACCTTATAAATGTATGCAAAAACCTTCTTATTCCTATTTGAATTTTTTTCTTTGTTTTTTGAAATGTAGGTTATATCACTGCTATAGTTTTCACATTAATAAATCACTTATAAGAGACCCTAATTGCATTAGATAGTGGCAGCAGCTGTGAAGGAACTTCATCATCATGGCTGGGCTTCGCAAACGAAGATTTGAGAAGGCTTTATCCACATTTGTTACAGGCACGTTGGTGACTTATGAGGCCAATACGGGACAGATATATCCAATTGCAGAAGGCACAACAGAAAGACTCCTTAGGTGGTACATTCTGCAAGACACGATTCTTTCTGCGTTGCCTTTTCTCCTCGAGTGTGATCCTGCATGCGTTCTCAAAGGCATCCGCAGCGTTATAGATGGTGTGTCTCCAGGCCTCCCGATTTGAGGCCAGAGTAGACCAGTTGTGGTGATCAATATGGCCAAGGCTGAGATGTTGTTTCAGGGAGTCCTTGAATCTTTTCTTCGGGGCTCCTCTCTTGCGGCAGCCAGTGGCAAAGCAAGTTCACCATAAAGCAAGATCTTAGGGAGGCGGTGGTCCTTCATCTTGGAGACGTGTCCTGCCCATCGCAGCTGTGTTCTCATCAGCATGGCCTCTATACTTGTGACTGCTACTTGCTCAAGAACAGATGTATTGGTCACATAATCTGACCAGTGGATGTTTAGGATTGTTGTGAAGGAACTAAGGGCATCTGATTTACACATCACTGTCATGCTTTTGGACAAAGGCTGTATTTTAATCTGTTCACATACCACCCCTACATATAAAGTGATTTCTGATGAAACAAGGTAATGCAGTTCTAAGTATATATTCACAGACAGAAAGGACAGCAAGTTAGAGCCAGATCTCTCTTCAGGGCTTTGTATTATGTTGCCCATATACATTACTTGCTAATTCCATTCTGTGCATATAATTTCTACACTTAATGAACTTTACTTTTCAGAAGTTACCTTGTTATCAAGAAATGCACCAAGCATAAGGCATGAAAATAGCTAGTACTAACAACTTAATAAAAAAGTCCTAGAGCCATAAAAGAGTTCATAAATAGAAAATACATTTCAGGAAGCAGCTTGATATATGGTTATGGAACAGTTTGAACAGAGAGCAATCACACAGCACATACAGGACAACCAGGGGATCAGGCACAGCCAGCAGGAAAGGCAGATCCTGTTTGACCAACCTGATCTCCTTTTATGACCAGGTGACCACCCTAGTGGATGAGGAAAAGGCTGTGGATGTAGTCTACCTTGACTTCAGCAAAGCCTTTGTTACTGTCTCCCACCGCATTCTCCTGGAGAAGCTGGCAGCCCATGGCTTGGACAGGTGCACTTTTTGTTGGGTTAAAAACTGTCTGAATGGCCGGGCCCAGAGAGTGATGGTGAGTGGTGCTGCATCCAGTTGGCAGCCAATCTCTAGTGGGGTTCCCCAGTGTTCAGTATTGGGGTGAGTCCTGTTTAATATCACTATTGATGATTTGGGTGAGGAGATTGAGAGCATTCTCACTCAGTTCGCAGACGACACCAAGTTGGGTGAGAGTGTTGATCTGCTGGAAGGTAGAAAGGCTCTGCAGAGAGATCTGGACAGGCTGGATCAATGGGCCAAGGGCAACTGTATGAGGTTCAAGAAGGCAAGTGCTCGGTCCTACCCTTGGGTCACAACAGTCCCATGCAGCACTATGGACTAAGAGTAAGAGTGGCTGGTAAGTGGTCCAGTGGAAAAGAACCTATGGGTCCTAATGAGCCAGCAGTGTCCCCAAGGGCAAGAAGGGCAATGGCATCCTGGTTTGTATCAGCAACAGTGTGGCCAGCAGGACTAGGACAGTGATAGTCCTGTACTCAGCATTGGTGAACACACCTCAAATGCTGAGTTTGTTTCTGGGCCCCTCACTAGAAGAAAGACATTAAGGAGCTGGAGCATGTCCAGAGAAGGACAACAGAGGTGGTGAAGGGTCTGGAGCACAAGTCATATGAGGAGCAACTGAGGAAGCTGGGGTTGTTTAGCCTGGAGAAAAGGAGGTTGAGGGGTGACCTCAATCACTCTCTACAACCACTTGAAAGGAGGTTGTAGCCAGGTGGGGATCAGCCTCTTCTCCCAGGAAACTAGTGATAGGACAAGACAAAATGGCCTCAAGATGCACCAGAGAGGTTCACGTTGGACACTGGGAAGAATGTCTTCAATGAAAGGGTGGTTAAGCATTGAGACTGGCTGCCCAGAGAAGTGGTGGAGTCACCATCCCTGTAAATGTTCAAGAAATGACTCCATGTGGCACTTAGTGCTATGGTTTACTTGGCATGGTGACGTTCAGTCAAAGGTTGGACTCAATGATCTTGGAGGTCTTTTCCAACCTTGATGATTCTATTCTATTCTATTCTATTCTATTCTATTCTATTCTATTCTATTCTATTCTA